TGTTACACCTGGTAAAGCAGCAACGCTTTATGAAGATGAAAGAATTTAGACAGTTTTTAACTCTCAGTGATGCCGCAGTGTTCGTTTGACTTTGGGACCAGAAGCGACAGAGTTTAGGACCCAGATTCCTCCGCGAGGCTCCTGACTACAGTAGCCGTAATGCTCAGACAGTCCATCAAGCGGTGCGGCTTCGTAGCTCAGCAAAGTCGTACTAAAAAGGTCAGTAAGCACAACCAGAATTCATACACTGCGCTTTGGGTGCCTTGAAAAGCGCTATATAAAATCCAATCCATTATTATTATTATTATTATTATTATACATAGGGCGCACTGTCGATTATGCCGCTGTTAACAGAGATTTGCCGCTAATGTTATTTTAACGAGATTACCGCTACCAGTGCTAAAATAGTAATCTCCAGATGTTTTGTTTTTACCAAGCAGCTCCTCTGTGATAGCTGCCGTGTCCACCTTGTCGCTGCCTGCAGGTGAAGCGATGGGGGAGTTGTGTTCAGTGAAGGAGAGAGGTGAGGCAGAGTAACGTTGCGTAGAGACAAAAGTGGACGAAAGAGAGGCAAACTTGTGGCTCCACAACTATATTTATAACGTAACATAGACTATAATGATATAAACGTCACATTTCATATCTCGTATAAAAATATATCGATATATTTAGAAACTCGATATATCGTCTTATTCTGTACCCTGTTTAGCAGACAAACAGCCCCAACCTCTCGGGATGGTGTTCTTTGAACCATACTCAGCATGTTTCTTTCTCCAAACACAGATGGAGATGATGTCAATAGAGATTGAAAATGTGACGTCATTCAGGGGCAAAACCGCAAAGGATTCTGGGAACGAGAGGCAAGTGATACTAGCGCATGCAGGCTTTCACATGAAAACAGTCACACAGCGATAAAAAGAACACAAAGAATGGCAAGAAGCTGTTGTATTATTAACTGCAATAGCAGTCGCATGACAGCCACGGGAAGCCGACGGGTAAAGAGATCGGTTGTTATCGGATTCCGTCGTGGAAGAGAAATTGTTTAAGCCGTGTTTCCGAGGTAACAAAGAGGCGACGGATGTCCTGGATTGCAGCCATTCGAAGACCAAATATTACGTCCCAGCACAGACCAGCTCACAGGTTAGTCTGCTCCAAGCATTCACACAAAGGTCAGTCTTCTGTTGTAGTTATTACGTAATTTATCATAACATAATTGTTGATGTAGGTTACAAGTAAGTCTTATATTGATTTGAATTGAATTCGTTGCGCTATGCTGCTTTGTTCACGGTGGCTTTACCAATTTTTTGTTGTTTTGTAGGAAAACCAGCCTACAAACTGCAGGAATGTGATCCAGACTGAGCCCCCTCTATCAACCTGGGTCATACCGAGTTTAAAGCTGCTACCACAGCGAGATCTGATCAGTTAAGAGAGAGAGCGAGATCGAAACAGCCACGAAATGTCCCGCATATATGTGCCCAAGTGTTGTATTGAAGCAAGGGATGAATAACTGTTTTCCAGTATGTTGGTTTTTTCATTGTTGATTTGTTTTTCACCGAAGCAGCTAATAAAGCTGATGGATTTTTACAATGTTGCCT